GATTCTTTAAATCTGACAAAATTGAATATAACATGCTTTTTAATTGATATTAGTATTAACACATATGAATCTAAATGTATTTATTTATAAAATGACATATAACTTTCAAACACTTTATATTAAAGCGGCAAATTGATTTTTGAATTAAAAAAAAATTTTCTATCTCAGGATATCACAAGATGTGAAATGAGTTCATTTTCAACAATTAACTGTAACCCACATAAAAAGCATAATGAACCAACTATAAGGCAATGTCAACAATAGCTAAGTTGCAATATAACATAAAAATGTCAAATTTGTTAAATAATTTGACAATTTTGATATATTTTTGAATACCAATTTAGATTATTGAAATATGATATAGATAAAACGACGACTAACAATCTTGCATCTATAGATAAGTTTTGGCATTTTAAAGATTCAGAGACTCAGAGATATATTCACATTTATACAATTGCAATTGCTATAGTTACAGCTGAGTATGTTGCTGAGTATGTCGCAGAGAAAATGTTAAACAATGCTAATATGTACCTATAGGCACAAGATCATTATTAGCTGTATTTTTTTAGTACATTTTAGACACTTCTTTAGAAAATAATGTTTAAAGATTGTTAATCTGAAAATACATACATAAATTCATATGCTAACATTATTGTGACAAAAAGGCATGATATAATCATATATGTATTGATAAGTATTTATATTCGATAGTATTTATATTCGATTTTAAGGACCAGAGACGTATCTATTTAATGATAACATATAATTTAATATATGTTATTATTATATGTAACTACATCTCTAAGTCATTAAAATGCTAAATAATTCTAATTCATAAATGTATATACGTATTTTCAGAATGATACATAGTTTTCAAACACTTTATGCAAAAGACGAAAAGATTAATTCTTGATAAATTGAAAAAATGTTCTAATTTAAAGCATTACAGTTATGAAATAAGTCCATTTTCAATGGAGATTTACAGCAACATAAATTATATCAGCACATAATGAACTATAACCGAATGTTCATAATAGTTTTAAAATTTGCAACATAAATATAAAAAATTAATATAACTTATAGAATAATATGATACAAACATTGAGTTCGATTATATTATATATTTTGAAAATATAAAAAAGAATAAAGCTTATAATAGGCTTTCTACAATAAGCTATTAATAATAGATCATAAGTCAGAAACTAAAAATTGACCAATCACAGATTGAATATAATAAGAATACTCGACTATGATTGATCAATTCTTATTTACTGATTTATGATCTATCATTTATGGCTTATTGTAGAATGGCACTTAGCTTTTGACTTACGATCTATTATTTATAGTTAATACTCAGTCTCGCTCTCAGTCTCAGTCTCTTTGTTTCGATCTACAATAGATGATTGAAGCCTTAATCCGTAAGAAATTGATTAATTATAGTCAATTATGCTTCTCACATTCGACTGTAATTGATCTATTTCTTATGGCTTTAAGCTTGAATTATCTGTGTAGTCCAGACATACCTATGACTACGACTCTGCCAATATTCAAAACGCACTTCTAAAGATATTAGTGCAAGTTTTCGTCTTTCTATTGTCATTTTTCGTCGAATGATAAAATGACAGAATGATGGAATGACAAAATACGCGCTGATATCTTTATAAATGTGTTGTAAATATGAGCCTGAATCGTTAGATTGCTAAGACTTGTTCTACAGTATGTCGCATGTCGCAAGCCACAAACTACAAGAATTGACCAATCACGATCTGACGTGTAGAGAATACTTGAGTGTGATTGGCTCATTTTTACAGAACAGGCCTAATCCCTGTTTTATAATATATCGCATGTCGCTGTCGGAACACAACTGAGGAGAACTTTTCAAAAGACAAATTCTTTTATTGGTCACGTTTATTCCGGTATCTGACAGCGACATACGATGTATTGACAATAAATCTAAAGCCAGTTCTACAATTTGTTGTTTGCAGTTGTTTAATAATCGAGAATACACACGTATCAATGAAAGAATTTGTCTTTTGGAAAAAAGTTCATCCCATTGAACCATAAGCTGTTCCGACACTCGACAGCAACATATTGTAGAACAAGTCTAAAATCTTGTGTTTACCAGAAATCAATCAGAAATTTTAAATAAAGAAAGAATCAATCAATTATATTAATTGGAAAAAATAGTGACTACAATTAATTGTTTCTTCATCCGCGATCTTGAATCGATTTCTATCGCCGATATACTTAAAGGCTAATTTATGGAAGCCATTATCTGTTAACTTATGCCGGAACTATGAAAAAATTGATCCATCATAGTCGATTATTCTTCTATAATTCGATTGTGATTGGTCAATTTTTTATGGTTACGACATAAATTAACAGATTACGGCCTCTATAAGTGTCGGTCCACAATAAGTATTTAATCTTTAAGCCGTAAGAAATTGACCAATCATAGTCGAGTATTCTTTTCATATTCGATTATAATTGGTCAATTTCTTATGTCTTAAAGCTTAAATCACCTATTGTGGACCGACACTAAAGCGGCGTTTACAATGAGACTTTAAGATGTAAGACTTAAGAAATTGGCCAATCACAATCGAATTATTCTTCTATAAATCGATTGAATTATGATTGGTCAATTTCTTAAGTCTTACGCCTTAAAGTCTCATTGTAGACGCCGCTTAAATCAGCTTTTGTAGTTATTTATAAATGTATATATGTATTTTTGAAAAATGTAGTTTTTAAACATTTTATACTAAAAATGCAAATTATATTTATAAATTAGAGAAAAGAAATATTTCGATTTAAAATTTGCAGACGACTTGCGGAATAAGTCCATTTTCAACGATTATTGCAATATAGGCTAGTATTCATAGTCAGTTCTTATATTTAAGATCGTAAGATCGTAATGTTTCAACCAATAAGATAACTGTATGAGTTTACTTAAGCAATCTTAAATATAAGAATGGATGAATACCGGCCATAACCTATATGAATATATAATTAATCATCTACAGATGAATGATAATAATAGTTTAATGTGCAACATAATCTAACAATATTGTAAGATTTGAAGAATAATATAATGTGGATACATTTGTAAACATCGATTTATGATTATTAAAGTGTAGAGAAGGCTAACATAGCTGATAATAATCTTGTATCTACAGATTACATCTGTATGCATAAGTTACATAGATTGCACGTGAACTTATTTTACAGCTTGCCAATGATACGTTCAGTCTAAACATTTCCTTTCTTCAATTTATCAAGGATTAATTTATATCTTTAATATTGTAAGGTTTGGACACCTAAAACTTTTATCTCTTATCTCTCTAAATTCCTAAACCTAATGTAAAGTCTGGACACCTAAGACTTCTATCTCTTATCTCTCTAAATCTTTAATCCTTTAGATCTTCTATTTCGACTTTGTACTTTCTATTGTTTTCAAGCTCTATATAAGACAATACGAAAAGCTCGGAAAAGTCAGTCATTATGCTGTCAGTGCGGCTCACAGTTCTCTAAGATAGCATATTCAATATTATACTCTAACTATTGTAAAGTTATTATAAGACATAAATAAAATAAAAATTATTTTTTTTAATATAAACATAAACATCGCGTGTCTTACAATTGGTGGCAACTGTGCGGGATAATTAGTGCAAGGACAGTGAAGTCCAAGTACTTTCACTTCAAGAAGATATACTAGTTTTACTAGTTGCTTCCAAAGAAGACTTGAAGATTATCCCGAGATACCGAATCAGATAAAACACACTGGCGTGGACAGACTATCGAGCGGTAAGAAAATTAATTACTTCTGAAACTTCTATTGAGTCCAGTACAGCTTCCAATATCTTGGAATCAAAGATTTTTGTAACTCCTCCAATGTCTCGCGCGCAAAGTCCCTCTCGTGATCGAAAACAAACAGTTACTATGAACATATTAGCGAAGAAAATCATAATTTTAACAGACGCGTTACAAGATCTCAAAGATCAAATGGAAGGAATGCGAATAAATCGGGATCGTTATCAAGAAGAACCTAAAAGGGAACTCCCGAAAATTAGGAAAATTACAAAAATTAAGATATTATATATGAAAGAGCACTGCATTTAATTCCGGAATTCGACGGAAGCAATGTTGAAATCTTCATCGGTTACGTCCAGATAGCAGCGAAACAATTGGCACCCGATCAGCAAGAATTACTCTTGTACGGCATCATCGTGCAAAAATTATTAGGGAGAGCACGATAAGAGGTTGTAAGAAATCTCCTGCAATTATTTGAAAACTTAGATTTTTTCGGAAGAGCCCTAACTCTTTCTGCACTGGAAGTATAGAGAGACACGTACATTCAGCGTCAACATGAGACTGTTGACGACTTTAACTTATAATACGATTTCTAAAAATACACGATGAGATCATAGCCGCAATTAACTCGCAAAGTACCGGAATTGCGTCAATCTGCATTCAAGAAGAGTTATACCAGCAGAAGGCTATAAAGATCTTTCGTCGCAACGTAAGAGCGGAGATAGGCGATCATCTATACTCGTTCGAACTGAACACTCTAAATTAAATATTCTCCAAAGCTAGAGCATTTGAAGGAGAACAACAGCTAAGAAAAACGAGAATGCAACGCAACGAAACCTTCAAGAAACCAATGACAAATATAAGATATCAAGTTAAGGAATGCATCTACTGCCGGAAGCGCGGATACGAAGAAAGGGAGTACAGGAGAAAGGTATTTCACCAACAACAAGGGCAAAATTTTCACAGAGGAGTATTCACCAGTCAATCACCGGACCAAATCGCGTCCTTCGCATGCAATCAGGCAGAACCAAGATCATCGCAGCAGCAGCAATACTACCAGGGACTCGAAGGCACGTACGTCCGAGCACCACGAATTGGATTAATGATACCAGGTTTTAAAGAAAAAAACTATATTCTTAATAGACACCGGATTCGATATTTCATTAATACACGAGTCATACATTATAGATAAAAGTTTACCGAAAATAGATCCGATAGTTAATAAACGGTGTTACAAATCATTCAATCAAAACAAAATACGGTGTAAAAATAAATATGTACGGTAAAAAATATATATTTCACGTACTAGACGATTCTTCACCAGTAAATCATCAGGGCATATTAGAAATAGATTTTCTTACGAATAACGATTTTGCATTCTCAAACAAAAGTTTAATCTTAAACGGAAAAGAATTTACGCGATCCGACAAACCGTATCCTAATAACTCGTGCAAAAATCCGAACGTACTCGTTACTTTTAAAATTGATACTGGAGCTATTACAAAACTGAATAATTCTAATCAACCAATTATTCCTAAATATTTGCTAAAAGAAATCAAAGGCATTGAGAGTTTTTACGAGACGTCCGTCTCTACAATCACCAAACAATCATTAGATAACATTCAAATAAAGACGCTAAGAAAAAACACTCGTCTCTCTCATATCTCCGAACATTCTGATAAAATATGGGACATAATTTTAAAATATCATGATATCTTTTCGTTATCTGGAGATCGTCTTCCATTCACACAATTAACCCAACACGAGATAAGAACTGACTAAAATCCTATCAATACCAAACAATATCCTCCTGTACATTAAAAAGAAATTAAGAATCAAATCAAAGAAATGTTGAGTAAGGGCATTATCAGGGAAAGATTCCCCCTATAATTCGCCGCTGTGGATAGTACTCAAAAAGCAAGATGCTTCGGGTAAAATCAAATGGAGATTAGTAATTGATTATCGAAAACTTAATGATAAAACCATTCAAGATGCTTATCCGCTTCCCAACATAGACGAAATCATCGATCAATTGGGCAACGCACGATACTTTTCGGCTTTTGATTTAGCGTTGGGTTTTCACCAGATTGGTATGAATCCAAAAGATATTCAAAAAACGGCTTTTTCGACTCCAGACAGGCACTACGAATACACTCGTATGTCCTTCGGCTTAAAAAACGCGCCGCCGACATTTCAAAGAATGATGAACGGTCTGAAACGATTAGTAGGAAATAATTGCTTTGTTTACATCGATGATATAATAGTATAAAAACGATCGAAGAACATAATAAAAATCTTAAAATACTATTGGAAAGACTCCGTCAAGTAGGATTAAAATTACAACCGGACAAGTTCGAGTATTTGCGACCGGAACTCGAATATTTAGGACACCTAATCTCTGAACGTGGTGTACAACCTAATCCTAAGCGAATCGAAAAAGTAAAAATATCCTGAACCTAAAAATCCTAAAGATATAAAGCAATTCCTCGGATTGATAGGATACTACCGCAAATTTATTAAAGATTTTTCAAAGATCGCGAAACCATTAACACGACTCCTCCAAAAATCATCGAATTTCGAATGGACTAACGAACAACGACACGCGTTTGAACTGCTAAAATCTAAATTAATATCACAACCAGTACTCTCCTATCCTGACTGGAATCAACCTTTTATCCTAACAACAGATGCATCCAACGAAGCAATCGGAGCAATCTTATCTCAGGTAACAATAGGCAAAGATAAGCTATTAGCTTTCGCTTCTAGAACCCTTAATAAAGCAGAAACTCATTATAGCACGACAGAAAAAGAACTACTAGCAATCGTATGGACCACAAAACATTTCAGACAATATTTATATGGCAGAAAGTTTAAAATCGTAACCGATCACAAAC